GCTCCTGGGACAAGTACGGCTCTGGGTACCAGTTTCATCTCTTGCTGCGTATCGCCGAGGGGCCAATGACCGGCGATTAATGCGCAGTGCATGCGGGCCCGACTGAGGCTGGGGGGCCCGTGGCCGAGGGCTTCGCTCGAGGCCGCGGGCCGATGGCGCAACGCCCATGGGCGACGGTGCATGGCTTGCAACCGAGATGCATTGGCTCGCGCGCCGCGCCTAATGATCTCGCGACCGCGTTCTCGGGCGCAGCGTTTGTTATGAGGCCGAACGCGCAGAGCTCAGCGCGCGCGGCCACGGGCGCGCGGGCCCCTGCTTCAAGCTTGCAGCTACATGTTGAAGGCGCGGATTGGATGCAGAGGGCTCGGGGGCTCTGGGCGCTCGGTTCCAGGCTCGGGGCATGAGGCGGGCCTTGGGCCCAGAGCTCTTCGACGAGGGCCCGACAATTCGGGCATAGGTCTGTGGCTCAGGGATTGCGCCGCCAGTTTTCTGGCGCTGGGCGCCAGTCCTATGGCTTCGGGCTTCGGGCTCAAAGCACCAGGCCCATGGCTGAAATGGGTTGCGGCCCAGAGGTGGCCGCCCCATGCTCATGGCGCAGGGCTTGGGGCGCGGGGTTCGCGGCAACATCTGCGACTCTCGGACGGTGGGTTTGGGTTTAACTTGGGCCCTGGGCGCCCTCAGTCTCTTGCCCAGCGCGCGCTGCTCGAAGCTCAGGGCTTGGGCCCTGGGCCCTGGGCGCGGGCGCGCCCGCGCCCGTTTCGCTCATTCGAGCATGTGTGCGTTATTACTTCAACAGCGTTCGCGGCGCGCGTGCTACCCCGCTCGGCCGCTGACGCGCGCCCGCGCGCGCGCGCCGCCCCGCGCGCCTCAGGCGCTGGTGTCGGGCGGCGCGGCTAACGCCATGGGCGCGCTGGCGTGCGGCTGCGTTTGCGGGCCGAGTAACCGCTACATTCAGCTGGATGCGCCGCCGCCCCAAGCGCTCGGGGCGCGCGGGCGGGGCCGACACCGCTGTGTACGCGCTGCCGTGGCCCGCCCTGGCAGACGCATGCAGGTCGCCACGTCGACTACGCGCGGCGCGCCGCGGCTCCGCGTGGCGCGCCAGCCCATCGAAAGCGGAACGCCGACGTTTCGTGCGCTGGCCCATTTCATCAAAACCCAACCGCGGACCCATCGGAAACCCATCGGAAGGCCATCGTAAATCCATCAAAACGTCATCACAAAACGAACGAGTTTAAGGGTGGTTGATCAACACGTCATCATAACGTCATCAAAACGTCATCATAAAGCAATCGAACGGGAGCGTAATGCCGTGCCGTGAAGGGCAGAGGCGCACTGGCTTGCCAATGCTGACAGGTATTTCGAGCCGCCTGCTCAGCGGGGGCAAGGGCAGCGTACTGCGAAAACGTACTATGCCATGTGCAGATGTCGAAATTGCAGCGCAGGCACCGCCAAACCATCAAAACACCACCAACATCGATCATAAACCCATCAAAACGTCATCATAAACCCATCGTCATTCGGAGCACGCGACCAAAACGTCATCATAAGGCCATCAAAACGTCATCATAAACCCATCGAGAGGCCATCAAGGAGCCATGCGTTCTGGCATCGAAAATGCTTCGGGCGACCAAAACCTTATGGCGGTTTTACATTGCACGGCGCAGATCGATGCTCGGATTTTCGCAATCTCCCCCCCCCCTCGAGCACCCCCCGATGCCTGAATTTTCGCAATCTACCCCCCCCCCCCCTCCCCCTCGCCTGGCCGCTCATTCGGCTGCGGCCCCGTCGGCGCTGCGCCAAGGACCGCGCCGCGTTGGCCCCATGCGGCTACGCACGTGGGAATATACAGCGGGCGGCCGCCCCTTTCCTGCGCGTTCGCGCGCGCGCCATGCGAACCCGCCTGCCCAGCCGCCTTGGCGTCGGGGCGCCCCCGCCCCCCCACGCGCCGCGCTGCTGCGGGAGACCCTCGGCACCCGCGTCGCGGGGGGGCAACGGTGCGCGCGCCAGCGCCGCTCGATGCGGGCCTCCTGGGCAATGGCAGCGGGCCGCGCAGGCGCGCTGCGAGGGCCCGACGGGCTTCCCAGCGCGCCGCCGATCGGGGCGGCCCCGTGCGGGCAAGCGCGTTCGGGGCTGTCGTCGCTGGGCGGTCTGCATGGACCAGCACGGGGCGGGGCTGCTCGCGGCGCCCGCGGGCGCCGCGATGCTGGCCCTGCGACGTCGCGCCCGCGGCCGACGGTCGGGCTGCAGAAGTTCGTGGATGTAACCAGCCCTCAGTCGCGCGCGCGAGCGCTGGAACTGCGATCTCGCGTGCACGGCGCGGGCGCATGAGCCGCGCGCTGCGCGCGATGTATCTCGCCGCAGAGCCGCCGCCGCTGTGGCGTGTTCGACGCGACGTGCCTGAGAATCGGTTTATCAGGTGGGGCTCTCCTGGTAGGGTGCGCCAGCGGAAGCGGCTGTTGCCGCGGCCATTCTGTTGGAAGAAGGCTGCGTGGGAGGGGTAGATGTCGGTCGGCTCGGCATGGCCAGGTGGTGGCTGACCAGTGTCGAGGTATGTGCGAGGCGGGGCTTGGGCATGGGATCGGCCCCCGCATGGGTGAAATTGCGGCGCCCCCCCCCAATGGAAGAATCCTGGTGGGGGCAAGTCTGGCGGGGCCCGCCCCGAGGGGCATCCGCTGCGCGGGCTCGGGTCATGCAGTCGGCGCCGCGAGCATCGGCTAGCGCGCGGCGGCGCGCGGCTGGGGGCGCCCCATGCCCGCCGCAGCAATGTCTGCGCAGCGCGCCCCGAGCAGCGAACCTCGCAAGAGGCCGACGCGGTTGGCGGACGCTCGGGTTCGACGCCCGCGGCCTCCTGGAGCATCAGGTATTTTTCAAAATCCTATCGGCCCCTCCCAAAAATAAATAAGCAATTCCCAGCAATTAGATGAGTCCATCCCGAAGTAGATCGGGCCCTCCCAGCAGTGAATAGCCCAGCCCTTCCCAGGGCACGCAGACATGTCCCTACCACAGGTAGATGGGGCACTCCCAACAAGTAGATCGGCCCCATCACAGATAGGCGGCTCACAAAAGTAAATGGAACAATCGCAACAAGTAGGTCGGCCATTCCCAGAAGAATGCATGTCCTTCCGAGAAGTAGATAGGTACCCTCCGAACAGCAGATGGGCACTTGGCAAACGTAGATAGGTCCCTGAAGTAGGCAGGGCGCTCCCCAAAGTAGACAAACCCCCATCATGCGGACATTGGAACATCCCAGCAAGTATACAGGACCCTCCCATATGTAGATAGGGCAATCCCAAAATTATATCAGACCCACCACAACAACAACAAAAAAAACAACAAGTACATTGGGCCCTCCCAAAAGTAGAATGGCGCCTCCCGAATGCAGGTAAGTCCGTCCGAAGGTCGATCGGTCCATCGCAGAAGTAGATATGGCCATCCCAGCAAGTATACATGTTTTCCCAGAGGTAGGCAGGGCCCTCCCAAACGTAGATGTGCCCTTTGTTTCCGCGCGGGAGATCGCCCCCCCCAGATTAGATGTGATCCTTGCGCAGGGCGGTAGGACCCTGCGAACAAGTAGATAGGTCCGTCTCCAAATGGGACGGGCATGTCACAAGAGTAGATAGGCCCATCCCAAATGAACATGCCCTTCCTAAAATGAGAAAGGGCCCTCCCAGCGAGTATGGAGGCCATTCCAAAAAGTAGATAGGCCCCTCCCAAACAGAAAAAAACAGATTCTACAAGTGGGGATCTCCTTCCCCAGAGAAGTAGGTCCCTCTCAACAATAGATATGTCCATTCCAAAATTAATTCGGTCCCTCCCGAAAGTGAATTGGCCACTCCGAGAGGTGGATATTAGGAATTTCCCAACAATTCGACAGGTCCGCCCCAAAAGTAGGCAGGTCTCCTCCAACTTAGATGGGGAACTCTAAACAAATTAAAGCGTCCCTCCCGAAAGTGTTGGTACGACCCTCCCAGAGGTGGAAACTCCCAACAAGCAGATATGTCCCGCCCAAAAGTAGGTCGGGGCCTCCCTACAAGTAGATAGGTTCCTGGAAAGGATGTGGTTTCCTCCAGAAAGTAGTTAGGACCTTCTCAGAAACCAAAAGTGGATGGGCCCCTCCCAAATATAATTAGGAACCTCCCAAGAAGTATAGGGCCCGCCCACAAGCATATAGGACCCTCCCGACAAGCAGATATGGTTCCCCCACAAGTAGATACGCCCCTCCCAACAAGTAGAGAGGTCAATCCTAACAAGTAGATAAGATCATCCTCAAACCAGATATGTTCCTCACACACGTATATATGACCAGAAGCCGTTCGGACCCCGCCAAAAGTAGATCGGACCCTCCCAACAAGTAGATAGGTCCCTCCAACAAGTAGATAGGACCTCCCCAAGCAAGTAGGTAGGACCATCCCAAAAGTAGGTAGGACTCTCCCAACAGGCAGAACGGATCCTCTCAACAAGTCGATAAGACCCAGCCGACCGTAGATGGGAGCATCCCAGATGTAGATAGGACCCCCCGAACAAGTAGATTCCAGGATCGTCCCTAAGGTAGGTAGGACCCGCCCGTAATTATGCAGGTTTTCCAATAGGGTCCTTCCATGGGGTCTTGTGATGCCCCCCCCCATAGGGCCTCCGTGGGCCCATAAGGTAGGGGGGTTCGCCCATGGGCCAACGCGGTCTCGAAAGTGGTGCCGCCCGCTGCCTCGCGATGGTGTGCGGTGCTGTGCGGTGCGCGTCATCTCCGTCAGTGACCGTGCGGTGCCGTGTCGGATCCGCTTGGGTGCCGCATAGTGTCGGCGCGGTGGAATGCGGTTTCTTGTTTGGCCGAGGGCCCATTGCAGTGCCATGGTATCGTTGTCTGCAATTACCTACGAATTCCAACATGATATTCTTTGTCTTTACATCGATGTTTGGCTCCGATCAGTTCGGGGCTTGTGATTTCAGAGCCGGGGCCGCGAGTCGGCGACCCGAGTCTTCTCTTCTGCTGGAGAGCCGGACGGATGGGCAAGCGGGCGAAACCCGAACCCAGCGGCGCCAGCCAGCTTGCGGGTCGCGGCGGCGGCACTGTGGGCCGCGGTGGTGGCGCGGGGGGCCGTGGTACTAAGAAGTCCAAGATGAAGGCCGCCGCCGAGACGTCGAAGGAGTCCCAGGTCATAGGGCCGTTGGTAATCAGGACCAAGAGCGTCGACCTCACTGGCCCCAAGGGTTCCTGCGGACGCTGTGGCTTCAAGGAGGACGCCGAGCATCCGTTCCCCGACGTCAAGTTCCCAGGTGGGGAGATCAAGAAGTTCCCCTTCGGCTGCTCATTCCACGTCCGTGGCTTTGTGAAGGGGAAGTTTTGGATGGATTACACTTGGCCTACTCTTTGCGGGGCTTGCGAGAATGACAGCGAGTTGGCCGACTCCTTCGAGGCGTGCTGCCAGGCCGCCGACGGAAAGCGCTTCTCGGCCACGTTGCCGCAGGACGTCACGATGGGCACGCAGACTGGCATCACGGTGTACTCGGACTGCGTCCTCATCACAGACGCCCAGTACCAGACCGACATCGCCCCTGCAGGGGCGCAGAGCTTAACGCCGCAGCAGGCAGGGGAACGTGCCACAGAAGTGCAGAACGAGCACAAGGGTGATGCGGTCACGGGGACGCTAGCCTTGGATGCGACGTCGCCTTATCTCAAGGTGCGCAGGTTCACCACCACCCTGAACACCCGCAGCGAGAAGGCTCTGTCGGCCGACGATTGCTGCCGTGAGGGCGCGGCTTCGTCATTGGAGGAGGCCGCCAACAAGCTCATGCGCGAGCAGATGCCCATTACCTTGAGGGGGAATGTTGGGATTCCGACGGTGGCCGAGCTCAAGGCCAGAGCCTTGGGTGCGGCGCGGGGCCTCGGGCTGATTACCGATCCGACTCCTCCAGCAGCTCCGACGGGGAAGCTGGCCATCGCCGACGGCAGCGTCGACGACGGCGGCGGCGCGGCCGCGCTCCCTCCAGGCGACGTCGGCGCGTCGCAGGGTCCAGCGTCGCTTGGACCAAACACCGACGACACCAGGCCGCCCAGGTCCGCGTTCGACAATGCCATCCCAGTGCCTGATTCGGTTCCAGCTGGCGCTGCCCGTGGCTCCATGGGCGACGACGCGGGGCCGCTGCCGTCAGGTGCCAGCGACCACAGCCGCGGGGCCTCCTCGATGATGACATGGACGCCGCCGTCCGTCAAGAAGCCTGGTGTGGCAAACGACGCTTCGGAGAAGGCGAGGCTGAAGGAGCTCAAGGATTCGATCTCCTTGGGGCGCATCCTCACGAAGGGTAAGGACCATGGCATCGGTGATAAGATCTACGCGCTTCGGCGCTGGAAGCCTGATAGCGACGTCTTGGGCGGCGAGAAGGACAACTACCTCAGCGACATCGACTGGTGCACGACTCTGGGTGGGAAGGCCATCGAACAAATGGGGCAGGATACCCGCCTGCGGCTGCTCGGGAACATCAAGCACGTGGACCTCTCGGACGCGGTTCCTTTCAAGCTGCAGCTCTGCGCGGTTGCGGCCAAGGAGATGTTCGACGTTGGAGGCAAGGTCGAGATCTGCATTCCCTGGGAGCAGTGCGCGGTGGGATGGGCCTCAACGTTAACGCCAACAACTGAATTCCCCAAGGTCCTTCACCTCCTCGCTCCCTCTCCTCCCCCTCTCCCCCTCCTCTCCCCTTCGCTCCCCCTTGATCCCCTGATCAACCCCCCTCTCCGATGTTGTTGGCGTCGGCGCTGGGGCCCCTGAAGGGCGAGTTTTCGATGCTTCATCCTCGGTTCTCGGCTGCTGGGGTGCCTGACGCAGAACTCGTCGAGACGGGATGGACGTTCTTCATCAACAATTTGGTTTTGCCGTACACCAAGCAGGATAAGATCCACAACTCGTGGATGATGGACCTGATCGATCAAATCCTTCCTCGCGTCAAGTCCGAGGCGGTTCGCGAGGAGGCTGGCGTGTGCAAAGACCTCGCGAAGGAGATCTACGTGCACGCCGAGCCCCTCCGCATCCTCATAGACCCCTCGCCCACAGCGCTGCTGGAATGCGATATCAGGTCTGAAGTTCGCAAGTTCCTTCGTGAAGAAGCTGGGCCTGAGCGGCGCGTGGTCGCGACGACCTTCGGCTCGAAGTGGAAAGCGTGCCTTGAGGAGTACAACCGTTCCTACCACACCGACGTGAAGTACGGCGAGAAGGTCTCCTCCGTGGAACGGGTGCTCGGGGGCGTTATCAAGACTCTGACCGTTCAAGACATTTCTTCGATCATCGCGAACCTGAAGGAGTGGGGCCCGTTGTTGCGCCTGGGTGCTGCGAGAAACATCATGAACCATTTCCGCGACAAGCTGGAGGACTTTATCAAGAAATCTGTGCTCGCGTCGGACATCGGACACCAGGCGGTGCCAGATATCGAGGGAGTGACAAAGTTGAACTTGGAGTTCCTCGATCTCCTGAGCCTCACCCCGAAGCTGCGTGCCATCTCTGAGGACACGGTCCAAGCATTCAACAAGATCTATGCCGACCTGGAGATGTTCCAGGAGAAGGTGTACATCAAAGGCAAGAGCGACAAACTTGTGGAGGCTTGCGACGCCTACGATCCCAAGCGCGATGAGACAGTGCAGAAGGTTGCCGCCGCTTTGACGGAATCTCAAGGCACGCACTTCGGCTCGGGCGAGGTCGTCGCCAAGCTCATCGGATGTGCTCGGACTTGCTTCAACCACGTTGTGCAGATGGGCCTCGACTTCACCGCAGAAGACGAGACAACTGATACCTGGGCCGAGACCGCCGAGATGATGAAGAAGATGCTGGCAGTGGCAGCTGGCGCGGTCAATCGCATCGGGGAGTTCGACGCTGACGCGCGAGAGATCCACAGGCTGGTGGTCACCAAGATGATGCTGATCCAATTGGTGCTGTCCATCGGAGCCGTCACCGCCCGCAAGCCGTTCGCCGACTTGCACGTGGATCTTGCTGATGACGCGCAGGAGGTCCGCGGGAGAGGCAGCCATCACGACGTCGTATGCCCTTGGGGTCTGGGGGGCCGGGGGGATGGGAGTGCGGGTGGACGAGGGGAGTGCGGGATACTGGAGTGAGGGGTGGAGGACCCGAGGGGTCCTTGCAGATTGATGGGGACATATGGTGGGATGGTGGGCGGTTTGATGTCACGATGGCTGTCTTACCTTGAAGGCTTGGCGCGTGCTCCGTTCGCATCTCGCCAAGTTCGTCGAGACCGCCGCCGAGCCGCCCCAGGATCCCGAGCAGCCGCAGGGAGAGGGGGCCTCGACCACGCAGGGTGCGGATGGCTCGGACGGGGCCGACGGCAAGAAGACGCCCGAGGTTACGATACTGGCCGACTTCAAGGCTTTCGAGGTCCTCGCCAAAGTGGCAATCAAGACAGGCCGCGACTTGCTCAAGGAGTTCTCGACGGTGTACTGGGACCTGGTGGCGGACGCCACGGAGTACGCTGTGAAGGAGATGGATGCCTTGAGCGGCGGCATCATGAACGGCGGCGGCAAGAGCTGGACGGACGGCGCCTCCAGCTTGCAGAACTGGGAGGAGGTCCTGACCCAGATCAAGGCCACGCTCTTCAAGCAGAAGGGCTTGGCAACCAAGGCGCGCGCGCTGAAAGGCGACATACTCAAGCAGCTTGGCGAGCTCAAGAAGACGGCCGACGAGCACGGCAAGATGAGCGAGTTCGGTGGCCTCGAGGCGTCGGCGCTCAAGGCCGTGGGCCGCGCGGGGGCCACGCTGTTCGAGGCGCGCTTCGCTCAGCTCGTCAAGGGCGGAGTCCACGCGAAGGACCACAAGGAGAGCTTGCTGGCGTTCAGGGATGAGCTGCACGACGCGAAGTACTTCAAGGAGAAGGACATCCACCCAGTGATCGCGGCCAAGCTGGAGGAGATGCTCACGCAGGCCTTCAACGACACGTTGTAGATGTGGAGGTTTGCGACGCTGGCGGTTTCGAGATCGGCTCGGACACTTTCGGGGCTGTCGGCCCCAGGGTAGCTAGGAGGCACCGTGGTCAGGTGGCCTCGCGCGCCGCCGCCCCTTTCAAGCAGCAAGTTGCTGCATGTGGTGATGATAGGATTTATGAGGAAGGGGAGGTGGAGGAAGAGGGCGACGACGACGACGACGACGACGACGACGAGGACGACGACTACGACGACACGATGGGGTATCACCAACTGCACTGCACGAGTGGCGGCGGCACGCTTCTCGGGAGGCGCTCCGCGGAGCGCGGACGAGGTGTGAGCGCTGTTTCTCTCAGGGCGGAGGTGGGCAACCTATCTCATCATGCCCTCATTGTCGTCCAACTTTCCCTCGTCGTCGTCCTCCTCCTCGGTCCCTTCACCCCCTCCAGCTTCACCTTCACCTCCCTCCCCTCTCCTTCCTCTTCCCTCTCCCTCCCCGTGCTGCTGCCTTCTCTCCCCGCTCCCTCCGCCCCCCCCAGACACCATATATTGGAGGCCGTCGGCCCGCGCCCACCTGCCCCGCGATCCGCGCGAGGGGCGTGCCGAGTTTGGTGGTGTCTCAGGGGCCCCAGGGCTTCAAGGCCCAATGGTCCCCCAGAGCCTCGGGGCACCCCTTTGGGCTCAGCAGGGTGCTCTGGGCCCAAGGCTTTCCGCGCCGTTGGTCACGCAGGGCTTTCGCCCCCTCCGCCGAGGGCCCCAGTGAGGCCCAGAGATACCCCAGTCGGGCTCCAGGAGTGCCCCAAACAGTGCACCACCCCTACTTGGACATCGCACCATGGGTGCATTACAATCTGGCTATGTGGTGCATTCATTCGGCGGTTTTGGGGGTCCACACCTTGCCTTGCTGTGGCTTATCTGGCCCTTTCGGGTTCTAGTTGGGGCCGCGTCTGGGGCCCGAGGGTTCACCGAAAAGTGTTCCGAATGGCTGCCCGCGATAGCCTTCGAAGGGGCATCCAACTGAATAGTTGCAACTGGTGTGGTCCGTGGGGGCACCTGCGGGCATTCCTTGGGGTCACCCCGCAGCGCCCCCTACCAACGGCCCGACTAAGGCGCCTATATGCCCCCAGACGTGCGCCTGTGGCCCCCAACTTACTCGAGCTGGGCCCCCGCGGGGCTCTCAGAAGTCCTAAGGCCTCGATGAGGCTCCGAACAAGGCTTGCCAGCGGTGGCATCCACGCGGCCCCCTTGGATGCAACCGCAAAAAGTGAGCGACCCACGCCTCGCAGGCTCGGGTGGAAGGAGGCGGGTAGGAGGGGGGCCCGCCTGGCCGCCATGCTGAGCCAAGCGGCCTGGCAAAGCGGTCGGGTGGGATCGGCCTCGCCCGACCAGGCCTGCCTCCGAAACTCAGTCTCCTGCAGGCTCCAGCCCATGTCCTACGCTTTCGGCTCTTCCTCCCGCCAGACCCCGCGATCCGCGTGACGGGCGCGCCGAAATGGGCGGTGTTTCGGGGGCCGCAAGGTTCCAGGGCCTTGGGTTCCCCAGAGTCCCATGGGGTTCCCTCTGGGCTTAGGGTGCTCTAGGTTGCTAGGGCCCGCCTTGGCCTTGGGCACATGAGGCCATCGCTTCCTCCGCCGAAGGCCCCCCAACGTAGGGCTGTCGCCCAATCCGCCTTCGTCCCCGTGGGGCGCCGCAGCGCAGCGACACCGCGACATCGTGGCACCGCGACATCCATGCAAGGCGTTGGCCCCCCGCATTCACCCCCCCCCCCCCACGCCGCCGCGGCGACGCGACGCCATGGCGCGACGGCGCCCCGACACCGCGACAGCTGCGCAGGGTATCCACTTGGGCCCTCGGGTGCATCGTCGACGGATGCCATGGATTGTCGGCCGTGCATATTGCGCACGAGCAACGAAACACGGGGGAGACAATTGAAACTCGCGAAATGACATCTCTCGGGTCGGTGCCATCAACAAATTTCATTTTGGTTGTTTGCGCCACGACAAGAACACGTTGGTTGATCAATAATTTTCTTTTTGAAAATCGCGAAACGGCCGTCCATCAAAGATTTTCGATGCGGAAATCGCGAATTCTGCAGCCACCAAAGATCGACAACGGCTCCACCCATCAAAATCCATCAACCCGAGACCCCACTACAGGCCCGAATATAACTGTCAACTCTTTGAGTCTGGCAATCTCGCGGTTCTTCTCCTGCAAGGCGGACTTGGAGCGCTCTGCCTCGGAGGCCTTCTGCTTGGCCGAGACCGACGGCGAGCCACCAGAATGGGCCTCGGGCCAAAGAAGACCAGGCCCTTGGGCTGCGCGCAGGACCCGCACTCCTTCTTGTCCGCATGATTCCACCAACGTTGCCCAGTAGATGGATGCTTGCACCACTTGCACAGCCACTGCTGCGCCATCTCCTGGCGTCGCTGCGAGTGGCCATTCGGCGGTGCCATGAAAGCGGGGGGCCCGCGGAAGAGGAAGGCGGTCTGGCCGCGCACGTCGTTGCACAGTTTGGCCCGTGCCCACGTGCCGTTCCGAAGACGTGGGACACAAGCTCGAGGTTCACTCAAATCAACTCGAGCCGAAAAGGGTGAGGAGGGGGAGGAGGAGGACGAGGAGGGGGAGGAGGATGCAGGGCGCGCTCATCTTTTCCTCTCCCGAGGGGCCAGAACCAGATTATGTAGGAATCGACAGCCAGCTGAGATCTCAGCGAATTGGGATGGCAGCGCGGAGGATTCGGCCTCGAGCCGAGGTCAACTGAGCAGAGGCTTCGCAACAGCACCGCCGCGACAAGAGGCGGCACGCTGCGACACGGCGAGGAGGTGGAGGGGAGGAGGAGGTAGACTTGAGCCGCAACACCAGCGGCCGACAAGCACGCACGCCCAGCAATGTACTTCGGAGAAGCTCGCTCTGCAGGGCGCGCTCATCTTTTCCTCTCCCGAGGGGCCAGAACCAGATCATGTAGGAATCGACAGCCAGCTGAGATCTCAGCGAATTGGGATGGCAGCGCGGAGGATTCGGCCTCGAGCCGAGGTCAACTGAGCAGAGGCTTCGCAACAGCACCAATTCCCATTCTATGCCCTGGCCGCTAAGGCCGCCTTCAGAGGGCAAGCAATCACATAAAGTCACTGGCACGCGAGTTGATTCAGACGATTTGCTTCGATGGCCACAGCGGAGGCCCGCAACCACTTGGCCCCTTCAGTGCACGTGCCTGACGGATAGGGCTCGGCGCGGGAGGTCCATTTTTGAGACGACCCCGGGATCGCGCCGGAAAGGTGGGCGCGGGCCTCCCCGGAAAAATCACACACACCCTGGCGGGAAGAACATGGGCGGGAAAAAGAGGGAGGAGCAAGCTGGAGGTGCCAAGCCAAAATTTTTGTGCGCTTGCGCCAAGGCACTTTGAATTGGCAGAAATCAAAGACATAAGCTCGGCAGGCAGGATGAGTGGCTAATCTTTTCATGTTAGGTGTGAACCACGCCAAACTACTGCTTGGATTCTCGGCGACCGCCGGGACCCGGGCCCGAACACACGAGCCAACGATCTAGCACGTGGCGAGGAGAGAGCGGTTGCCCGCCAAGGCCCGCTCGAGGCCCACAGGGTCCAGGTCGGGCCGCCCGAAAAGGTAGGAGTGGGTTCGGTACCGCCCGCGGGAGGCGACGTTCCACGTGGAGCAGGGAAAGGCCAGCCAGATCCCCCGGACCAGCTTGCTGCTGATCCACCCCACGATCAGATCCACGACCACGGGGTTGTTGAGGTTAAACGCGGGGTTAAACTTGGCATCGACCTCAATGACTCCCCAACCGCCACACTTACGAAGACCGCGAGCGATACCCCCAGTCCCTGAGAACAAATCGAGGAAAACTTGGCCTTTGCGGGGAGCAGCGGCGGAGGCAGCCGAAAAGGCTTGAGACCATGCTCGGTGGATGGCGTCTCGGCTCAGGGGAGTCGCGGAGTCGAAGGTGTCGCCAGCCTTCCAGAGTCCTGCCCCTCGGGCGGCGGCGCTCAGCCACTGCGCCCTGGTGGCGCTTGGCAGCGCAGCCGCCCGGAGAAGAGGCCGGCGAGGTTGGCCTCGACCCACTCGCCGAACGCCTTGACCTCGGGGGGCAGCTTCTCGCACTCGGCCAGGTAGCGGGTCCCCTTGCGGTACCGCCGCGTGCTGGACTCGCTCAGGTGCCTGAGCCGCTCCTGGACCGCTCCGAACTCCCTCACCTTGAACAGCAAGTCGTGGGAGGCGGCCACGTGGCGGACCTGGTACGGGCGCGCGTCCTCGAGCCCCGCCAGGCTGGCGCACGTGGCGAAGTCCTGACGGAACTTCGGGCCGGAGAACGGCCACAGAGGCTTGTCCGCCTGGCTCCGCGACTTCAGGGCCTTCAGGGCGAAGCTCACGCTCTGCGCGGCCTCCGACTCTAGCACCATCCCCTCGTCGAAGTGGCCCGTCTTGCTCCGATCGGGCAACTCCTCGGGGAACAGCAGAATGGCCCACCGGTTGATCCGGCTCCGCCGAGCTGGCGCCACCAAGGACCCACCCACCATGCCAATCAGGTCGCTGGGCAACCTGAGGTACGCGTCCCAGGCGACGAGGAGGCCGAGGCAGAAGTCGAGCAAGCCGCAGAACACGCCGGCCCCGATGATCGCGAAGACCCCCTGCTTGGGAAGTGGTCTGCGGGTCTTGCCGGGAGCCATCTTCTTGAAACCCTTGAGCGCGGCTCGGCTGCCCTCCAGGGCCCCTGGCCGCTTCAAGCCCTGGCTCGGGTGAAAGAAAAGGACCGCCGCCAAGGTCTTCTCGCCCTGGTCCCGATTCCAGCCGTCGAAGAACAGGTGGTCCAGATAGCTGGCGAGGGTCCGATCTAGGTCGGTCACGGTACTGATCCTCAGCTCCTCCCCCCGGCTCCAGTCCAGGAAGTCGGTGTAGGCCCGCTGGTGCTGCAGCTGTGTCCCGTGCCCCGCTCGAGAGGTCTGCAGGAACGCCAGGCCCTCCACCGCAGCCCTGGAGGCTGCGGGCAGAAGGCGGCGGCGATGGG